TTGACGTCGTTCCCGTGCTCTCGATTCTCTTTTGGTTCGGAATATGTCGTGAGGCTCCGGTCGCATCTCTTGCCAAGCTGTGTTGGCTATTTCCTGCAAAGGCAAACTCTAAACGTTGAGAATGGCTCAGTGAGGTAAAAACCAGTTATAGGGCCTCACCTTCACTTGATCCAGTTGAGTTAGAGTATCTGCATAGAAGCTATTGATATCGCTGAGAAGATATCCAACAATGATTAAGCTGACGATCGTCGTTACAGCTGCAGTTGCCATGACGCCGGCAGCTACAGCTGTAGACGACGCCATTCTTTTACCTGGAATCCAACATCTAATTTCGAAAAAAAGCCTGCTAAAAATCAAGAAAAATTGCACATGAATGAAAGAAATTGGCTCAAAAGACTGAGGATGCGCTGCACCTCACGCTCCTTCAAAGGCAGTGGCTGGGCGCAAGCGGTTACTGCCAGCGTCATTAGTGGAAAGACTACAAAGGAGCAGTTAGCCCCACCCCACTCAGCCCTTCTACCAATGACGTCGACAGTAACCGCCCGCCCCCGGCCTTCAGGAATCACCGATGTAGCGGAACTTCCATAATTCGTTAGCAGGGCCTTCTGCAAGGGGAATACTGATATCGGCCGGTCAAATCACTGCTTGGGGCATTTGCCTTCGGAAGGAGCTACGATCCCGAAACGCATAAGATTGCGTGGCGCATCGTAGAAGTGAGTTGTATAAGGCGAGTTCAAGGTTGGTTACTAATACACTGTGATTCCCACCGTTTTCCATCTCTAGTTATTTAGTCCCAATCCGATCCAAATGGTCAGTGAACTCCCATTTGGCCAGGTGGGGTTCAGTCTCAAAAGCTGTGAGCAATATAGCGCCTCTTCTCGCTACTCCACCACATCTTGAGGGTTTAGTAATGCAGTAAGCTTACTCGCGGCCTCCAGCGATGTAAAAAGGTCATAAGGGAAGCAGCCTCGCTTTGAAGGTAGATTCCACAACTGCGAGTACTATAGGACGAAAAAAGTGAGCGCTAGTTGAACCTCCAAGGAAGCGGAAGAGATCTCGAAGGCGTAATCATTAAGGCCCACGTTTTTACAGTTGATTTTGAGCACTGGAAGAGAATACAAAGAAGCGAGAGGCTCCCAATGGGACAGTGGGTGCGCGGGCGAGAGACCAGAGAATGACAATGAGTGATGAGAGAAGAGAGAGCAGGCAGCCAAGGGCGACATGGGTGCGGCTTGTCTGCAAGGGACGCAACTGAAATCAAGGCGCACGTTCGTGGTGTCATCAGGCACGTCCTGCCACTAGGCGAAATTTTTGCAAGATACGTCCCCCCCCATTTTGCATCTCTCAACTTACCAGCCATCTTCCTGAATTGTCCCATTTTTCCAAACGTTCCTTTTTCCAAAAAACCACCACCGCGGAGGAACAGTAGAGTGGAGTGGAATAGGAAGGAGTGGAGGGGGTACACACACAGGCAAATGCGACCCTCCTTGCTGAAATTCCCCAATATCCGATGTGCTCAGGGGTACCAAGTAAGGCCATGAGGTACACTTTTCGCCGCTGTTGGCTATCGTATCCACGGAAGAGGTCCGTTGACAAGGTAATCAGCGACTTAAAGGTTTAATGTGTAAGAGTGACAGAACAGAAGGGGAAGCGCTAAGCACTCAATGGTGGCAAATGATTGTTTCTACAGTATTTATATAGGAGCTACCGGCTTGGAGTAGAAGCTGTGGGGAAAAAAGCCCGCACCACTTCAGGCGAAATTGGACTCGTAGGGTTGAACGGGTTGTACGAGACACGGCGATTTTCAATCTGATGTTTTACGTGGAGTCCTTTTATAGCGTTTAGTTGTAATTCTCCAGTTGACCGACTACAGTTATCACTCAGTTGATTAGCAAGTCGAATCCTATGTTTTTTTACTCGCTAATCTTCTATGACTTTCATATAACACCCGCCACGAAACCACTTAGACACCCTCAAACGAGTTCTTGATGTAAAAGCAGACTGTAATCGGCACGTATCCTTATTTGTAAAGCATAAAAATCTCGCCCAGGAAAGCTCGAAGCTGGAACCAAAATTCGCAGGATAAATCCGGCGGTGATTAATTAGACTCGAACGACTCTAGCTCGACCTATGTTCGATCTCGTTCTGATTTATTGGATGAAGAGGTAAAATACTTGACAAAGTGCCAGCTCTATGCGTGCCGTTTATCAAATCACGCGTCATGGAACCGTGTTCTCCCGGTCAACTACACCTCTTATCCCTGGTGTGCACGCAGGTAGGGAAAAAGTGGCAAGGCAAAAAAGAATTGATCTGCAAGTTTGAAGACAACCAACTGTTCCACAACTTTCGCACGGCATCAGCTATTACCATGGTACCACAGATTCTCCAGTCTACAGCTATGTCATTTTTATAGGACAGGACAGGTGGAGAGCTGATTGCCACTTTTTCCGCTTCATAACTAAATCATCTTGCAGAATACTCCCGGATCCACTTCAACCCGGACCCAATTTCCCGTTGGGAGCCGGTCACTTGCTAGTTGACTTAAAGGAAGCGCCCGCGTTCATTTGATGTCCTTACCCTGTACCTCCTTAGATAGCTTTGTCGACAAGGG